AGTGTAAATTACACAATGGCAAGTGTATTTGGATTTTGCAGGGCTGATCCTAGGATGGGTGACCAATAATTATTATATTTACCTTCGGCGCATTCCATTCTGATAGATGTGCGATCACCTTAAGAATGTTTTATTTTGTTTCTGAAAGTATGTTTTATAGGTTTGGTATTATTTTTTATAATTTATGTATTTAATCAATGATCATTTTTATACACACCACAATCAATAATAACCCATATTCTCCCGCATTTAGTTAGCAAAGATCAACATGATAATTTATATAAGGCCCTGGAATAAAACCTTCAGCACAGCAAATGACAGATAATTAGCTATTTAAATATATGGGTAGGTAAAATATATATAGGTAAATATTTTGTCTAATCAATACATAGTCACTTTCCGTTGTCTGTCTATGTATGCTTAGTTAGATATTTAAAACTGAGCAACGGATTTTGATGCGGTTTTTTTTAATAGAAAGGATGATTTAAAATATATGGTTTTTTGTATAAAACAGGACCACGCATTACAATCGCTATACCTTTGTACGAGATTGCGGTAGATTCTGAAATTAATAGTATTAGTTCTCTAGTATTCTAAAATATTAGCAATTTATTGTCTAGCTTACATATACGTTGTTATACTACCCATATAAAATTACTACATAACATATTATAAAGAAGAAAGATTTGATTGTTTGTTTTTAAAGGCTCCGAAACTGCTGGACCAATTTTGTAAAGTAAAAACATCATATGCGGTGAACATAGGCTATATTTTGTCCTGAAAACCACCAAGTAAAAGGATAAAAACGAGAGTGGAAGATTGTATGGGGAATTAAAAGTTTGCCGTAGTCACTATTGTTTGAATTTGTCATTGATATTATATCCGTGTTATGATATAAATTGATATCCAAATAAACAGTTCCCTAGGGACCACGCGAACGAAGCCGCTGGCGGAAAGCTAGTAATTAAATAAAAAATATGTAATAATCGTAACTATTTATAATTATGAAATTATTTTGTTCTATGTTCATTATATTATATTCACAATATTTTAAGTTAATATTTTTATTATTATTTTGCAAGTACTACTCATACACTCATGCATAAATCTTTCTAATTAGGTACTTTACCCTCTCACATTCATGAACATTTTATTCAAAGGGGGTCATTTGAATTTAATTTATAAATGATATATTATTTTTTATGCTAATAATTGTTTTTAGTAAGCGGCTACAAATGATGAATTTTTCGTAAAATTTGCTACCCTTAACCTTTATATTATGTTTAATATTTTATTTACATTTATCTATTTTGATTATGTGTAAATAAATAAATAATTATAATTTGCCAAAGAAAAATAATGTCTGTGTTTTATTGCGCATTAATTAAATTTATGAACTAAAAACTTTAACCTACCTATATTTAAAGTGAACTATGTTTTGTTATTAATTTTCTATTATCTTTTATTAATCTGATTTCTTTGATATTTTTGTCAATCTGTTATCAGTTACCACGTCTACTTTGTAACGTACGTGACCAAATAATCGTAAAAACCATTGAGCATAAAAGGATTTAAAAGAAGATTCAAAAACCGGCCCTGTGTTAATCGGACTCGGGCACGTAAGGTTCCCTACTGTTATCAGTAAAAAGAAACGTTGAAAAATCAGGTTTGTCGTATGAGAATGAGAGGTTCGCTTAAATAATTATTTTATTATGTTTTTTTTATATGTGTTGGTAAAGCGGCAACAGAAATACCTTGAAAAAATTTCAACTGTACGGAAACCTTTGTTGATAACGAATGGGAAATCCAACTAAGTCTTTAACTAAGACTCTCCAACTACTGTCCTGAAAAGAAAAGGTTGAGTGTAGCTGGCCTACCTGGTAAAGCCGCAGAATAAACCATGCAGGATACCGGGTTCATCCATCCGTGTGAAACTCACGAGGATGGATGAACCGGGTATCCTGCATTAGATTGGCTATGTCCTAATTGTCTCATAAAATAATTTCTTTTTCATAAAATAATGATATAATTACATAAAATAATGGTAAAGCGGTTATTAATAGTGATTTATGGAATCATGCAACTTTTAAAGTCGCTTTTATACCGAATGATGATTTGAATGATCAAGAAACATAATTAAACCCGTCTAAAGATTGTAGATAGCATTCGACTCTCGTTCGACATTTCTTTCAAGCATCTTCTTTTGCGTTCATGCTTTTTTTTAAATTAATGTTAAATTCTTGATATTATGAAAGGTAATATAGGGAAAGGGACTGAATCCTTTAATAGACATTATATCTACTCAATTCTAATTGTTTTATGGTATGTTAATATTTTTAGTATGAATAAATAATTATTATTATTTAACGCTTTGTATAGACAAGCACAAATAATGTTAACTTAACGATATCGTTCATTGAATATCTTTCGAATGACGTTGCGATCGCAGTCATTATTAAATGTCAAATAGTTGTCGCGTGAAGATCTTGAATATCTTTCGAAGATCAAATTGAAACGGGCAGTCCCTTTATAGATATTGGCCCTTCCAATATTTAAAATTAATCAATTGGGCCTCCTCAATACGCGCTGGGACTCCACGCGCGGTGAATAGAGGGGAGTCGTCATCTGCGGGAGTGATACGGAACTCTAAAATTACGATGTAGCGATTGTAATTGGGCAATATCTTGGCAATTAAGTGCCAGATCTAATCCACCGAAGTACTATGACAGAGACAAGTGCAAAGTCAAATAGGTCATGCGACATGTAGCGATGCTAAAGGGGCTGTGGGCTGGTCACATCATCAGAAATAAAGAACCGTGCTGCAAGGCGTTCACGTAGAGGAGGTTTTAGGACGAAAAACGTTCTCATGTAAGACCAAATATGCGGTAGTACCAAGACGATATTGAAAGAACAGCTAGTAATATGGATAATAATCAAGAAGAAGAATAATAGAAGAAGAAAAGTATAAATAGGTATAAAATTTAGTGATGTGTATGTAATTAATCATATGAATTATGCAAAACGACTTAGACAGATCTAATAATATCTTACATGTGTATGTGGTATTACCTTGTATCAACTATAAAATTCTTTATAAGCCAAGAGACATTAGTTTTTAGTTATGTTTATGTTTCTGATTTTCCATATCAGTAGATATTATGACACCTTGTAGTGAGTGCATAGTAACTTGTTTATGTTCGTATATATCGAGTGTTAATGTGTAATATTATTAGTAACTGGCACAATAAAGTTTGCAAATTTAATTTTAATTTGTAACAATAATAAGGTGGATTTTTGATCTTGAATAGAAAACATACACATTTTTTTTCGATTAAAAAAAAGGCTCATCAGAAGTGAAAAGTATTTACGAAATTCCTTTCGAAGTCGGCGGAGGTTTTTAATAATAACTGCCCGACTTAAAACTAAACTAAACTAAACAACAAGTTCTATAAAGCTTGTTGTTTAGTTTAAATTGAAAACTAAAAGATCAAGTAAAATAATCATTGCGATTCGAATTGCGAGAAACAAGTGGAGAATCATATATAAGGTGTAATATTATTATGTGCCAGGACTTTTTATCGTGGATGAGTTAAATATACTGAACAAAAGTTGTGTTGCTAGGAGAGCAACACTAGATTTACGAAAAAATAATCAGCAGTTTCTTACAAAATTGGAACCCCTACAATCGCCAACAGTATGAAAAGGATGATTATTTTTTGGTAAATACAGTGTTGCTCTCCAAGAAAATGTTGTTCAGCATATTTGACTCATCAACTTTACGATATCCTGGCACATAATAATCTTACACCTTATATTAAATAGTAAACACTTATATGTCACAATCAAAAGAAAATGTTCATCTTTGTTATCATCACCATCGTCATGAATCTATTAATGTCGCCATTGCTGGGGTCATAGGTCTTCGTGGAAAGAAAAACGGGATAATTGGGTTGCAACTCACCATGCACTGACAATGAATATTCGTGGGTTCGGACTTTTGTTCTCAATCTGCCTTGGCAGTTTGGTCATCCATCTGAAGATCGACCTTTGCGAAAGTTGCTTAAACCCCGAAATGGCAGATGCAATATGCTAGCTACTATGTTATCGAGCTCTTTTACTTTAAATACAGCGCAAAGTAAAGTGTTTATTTGAGTTATTTATGCAGAAATCATTAAAAATGCTTCTAATAAATATGCTTTTTTATTTAATTTAAATAACTAAAAAATCACAAATGCTTTTAAAAGTTAAACGAATACTTTGTACATTACTTATAATTAAATACAAAATATACTTTATTCTAAACCTTAGTATGTGTAGTTTTAATGCTACATCGATTATCGAACTTGAAAATAGTTTTTGATATGTTCGATACGTGGCTTTTTGGGAATTTACGACACTTTATTTCCAATAGAACTGTTTATTTGGATATCACACAAACATTATGATAACTATGTGATTTTAAATAGAAATTACGCCATTATTTTTTGCTATTTCCATGTAGCTACAATAAAACTTACTAATACAGTCGACAGCACGTCAGGTTACTACTAAAGGCCAAATTTGTCCGAACCGTTATAAGCATTAATCTGTCCTCGCTTAAGTTCAAAATTGATTGTAGAAATTGTGCTTTAAAATAATATAAACATTAGACAACATCACATACATTGTTAAGATTCCAAAATGAATTAGCACAAATATTATATAGTATAGAACAAAGAAGGAACACTATCCAAATCCGAGACAATATATAAAAGTTCATTATATACTATGAACCTCAGAAATGGCAACACCTTAAAGCTACTCGGCTACGAAAGTTGTCTAAAGCATGCCGTATATTAACATGATATTGTTGTGGTGTATCTTGATTTTTACCCGATAAGAGCAAAAAATAAATAATAATAATAATAATTTATTTGCGTTTGAATAGAGTATACAAAAGAGATGTAAAAATGTAATACAATTATCGCCTATTCAGCCATTAAAAATAGCATACAAATGTAGTTATACGAATACATAATTATAACTTAAACAATAATTCTTAAGCAAGTAGGTAATTTATTTATTATTATGGCAAGAGTACTGAAGTAGATTTTATTATTGCACAAAATAAGACTTATATCTAATTACCTATTATGAGTCATGCCTAGATTTAGTCAATCTTTATAATACAAATGTTGGGGAGAAGTGATCCCATGTCTTGATATGTTCGTAAAGGGCTCCACCGGGACATTCGGTTGTCATAACTTGCCTGTGACCAACTAATTTGTAGTCAGGTTTTACGAAACAATTCTTCACGCCATATTCAATCAGTGCCTTGGTTGTTTCCAATTGTATCGGCGGAGGTAGTTCAGCTGTAAATCAACATATAATTAGTGTCATCCTTGATCGAGAATAAGCATGTGTACATTCAATCATTAAATGTGTGTATTCAATCAAAATGAACTCAACTTATTTTATTGTTAGATACAATGTGTATGATGAACCAAATGCACTTAACATTCAATAGAGTTTATTGAACGTTAAGTGTTTTGATTGAATCCGATGTCAAATAAGTCGAAGTCAATGTAGCTACTCAATATGCCTACTACTACAGAACCTTCAATAAGCCTACTACAGTAGGCTTATTGGAGGTTCAATAAGCCTTCCTTAACCTTCAATAAGCCTACTACAGTAGGCTTATTAAAGTAGGCTTATTGAAGGTCTATCTCTTTGTTTTCAATTTTTATACTTAAGTTTATGAGTCATCGCGATAGTTTGTAATGTTTATGAAAGACGTTATGTTTTATGTAACAAAATAATCATGAGTCATTGCTATGAGACTACGCAATGCCCTATAATTTGTATTCATTGGAAGGTAGTATAATAATAAAAGTCGTCGCTCGATTGTCGACCTTGACCATAATTTAGATTAATACCATAAAATTTGAAAATTATTAAAGTTTAATTACACGACACTTGTATGATTTTTTAATTAGGTAGTCACCTTTGTTGTGGTACACTTACTTCTCCAATCACCGATGAGGCAAATACCCACGCTGACTCCGTTAGCTCGGCCTGCGTGGATGCCTTTTGTCTTCCAACCTCTACCCTCGTAAGCACCACCTTCACTGCCAATGCAGAAACTGGCAAACAAACACATTAGCTTAGTTTTAAGAACAAGACAGTTAAATAATTTAAAATTAGATTATAAAAATTTCACATGGTTCAGAAAAAAATTTGGTGGACGTACAGAAATTGCAGTTTATTTCTCAAAAAAATTTGTACTTAGCCTTTATAAAGCTAACTAAAATTTATAACAATTCATTAATAAAGTCAATAATAATTATTAAAAAAAACAGATCAAGTCCGAGTCGGACTTGCGCACGAAGGCTTCCATTTCTATAAAATTTATATTTCCATTTCTATAAAAAATGCAAAAGAAAATCACGTTTGTTATACCTATATTAGCGAGCGACCCCGTTAAATATTTATTTTATTAGTTTATAGTATTTGTTGATATAGCGACCATAAACATACAGACAAATTCCAACTGTTTAGCTACCACAGTTTATGAGAAACAGCCTGGTGAGGGACAGACAGACAGACAGCGATGAGTTCCGTATTAACGCTTTCGGCACGGAACCCTAAAAAGTAGACAATCAATATTTTTGATTACTCGAAAACCAATATATTTCAGTTCGAACGAGCGTCATACATAACTATAAATAAATAAAAAGGTTAATTCTCTTTTGCTATGAAGATAGCGGTGAGCAGGGGTGTCAAACCTAAAATTACAGTGGACTATATAATAGATTTAGATGTGACCAGGATCACTTAAAAAAAATAACATAATGAATTATGATTAAAAACATAAATAATTAACACACTTTCGCTCATTTGGAGTCTACTATTAGAATACATGAATAGCGTAGAGTGTACGCATGAGAATTCGAAGGCGTGACACTTAAGTTATTTTTATAATGTGACGTGATCCTTATAGCTCAGCAACTTATGTCATTTAATATAACACCTTTGTGTCATAAAAATGAAAAAAAAAACGCGACGATTACTCATTAAGAAAAGTACCTAACCTATTTTGAAGTGGCCGATTTGCCAACATTTTTTTTTAAACTAAGCAGGGAAATTACATGAAAATTATTTTTGTTATTATTTTTATTTTAAAATAATATTAAACAAAATTGGCTATAACGACTTTACACGTCCTTTTCTTAACGAAATCTTTTTGAAGTGGATTCGGACACCTAAATGAATTCGAATTCAAGTTTGTATTTTTACAGAATTGCTGGACTGATGTTTGGCAAACGAGGAGGTTATGTGATCGTAGTTCGTCGTAGTTTTCTTAAAACTAATTTTAGAATATTAATTTTCATAATACTCCGTCCTACTTTATTGTATAATACTTATTACTTAAACCCGTCGAAAATTTTCAGTCAATAAACAATTCCTTCATTTCTTAATAGATTTCAAAGACATATGTGTCCAACGCTTACCTTAGACTATTCCAATTAACGTTGAAATAACGATGTCATTGATTTATCATCTTAAAAAAAGGTCGCGGTCGTAATCGCTCTCACATTTCAAATAGTTGTAATGTGAAGTTTTTGAAAGAGATTGTAGTAGATTCTTTAGCCCACAGGACAGACAAGGAAATAGTCCACTGTATATCGAATCTTAATTATGACAGAGCAAGCTCAGGGGCCTAATACTTAGTCTAATTTTGATATCTACAGAAATCTCTTTCAATCTGACATTTAAAATACACGAACTTCACGTTACAATTATTTGACATGTGTTAGCAATTGCAATATTGAATGAACGATATCGTTAATTGTAATTGACTATGGCAAGCGTTAGATGCAAATATTACTTTGAAAGCCATTGAGAATTATCAAACGAATGACATTACTTTTGAAAGACATTGCGATTAGACTTGATTCTTTCGTACAACATAGCAAGGTTGAATTTATTTTCCTATTTCTTTTTCCTTTATTATAATTGACGGAACAAGGAAAGTTATTAATTATTACAACTGTTAATTTAAATGTAACTAATAGAAAAAATGTCAGAAAATCAACGACAGATAGGATATAAAGATGCTAACACAACATTACTCCGTCTTATTAAAAAACAAGAACTAACTTTAGTACTGTGGCCTCAGTTCCGCTATTTTTTACGAAATAGTGGCAATTCAATAGCGTTTTAAATTCAATATTATAAGTGCATTGTCTTCACAACTAATCAATGGTGACAGGGGTTGAAGTTAAAGCGCTATTGCAGTTAAAGCGCTATTGATTTGTCTTAGATTTAAAACATTATCATATTCAAAATAAAGTCAAAATTTTCAAATAAACCTGTATAAAATATTATAGATTTGTATATAAAATTATTAAAATAAGAACGTGCGGAATAAGACGAATTGAAGTAACATAGGTATAATACAAAATTTTGACAATTTGTGTTTCTTAATCGATTTCCAATAAAACTATCAAAATTGTACTACTATAAAAATACAGAGTAGCACCTCTTCCGCATGATCAAACTTAGTAAACCGGATGCATACAAAAAAAGGTTAAAATAGTGACCACTTAAATTTAAACATGTGACCTTTTTACGTGTAAATTTAAGGCATCAACATAACCTGCTTGTTCGGTGCTTCCCCAGAAGGTCAATAACACTAGTAATAAATCATTAAAACCTTTTTTGTGACTTTTGCATTTTATCTAACTCTTGCGTTTCAATTTTTTTTTACATTTCATTATGGTTTATATTCAAAACATACATGCAATAAAAAAAAAATTAAGGTCTCAAATAAATACTCATACTTGAGAAGTGAACGGAAAAAAAGTTTTTTCCTGTTTCCGATGGGGAAATGTGTTTGTAAATAGTTTTTATCATTATACATATATATTATTATTTCAAAGTCATTCTACGTCAGGTAATATGTGGGCGTAATAAGTTCAATAGATTTTCCCTTTATATCTTAGATGAAGATAGAAGATGCAGAATTTTCAGTTAATTTAAAAAAGGGTAGGTAGGAGCAGCCCCCCTTTAGTCCGCCACAGATTTTGGTCTCTTAATATGCGTCTTAGAAACAATAACGAACGTAAATATAAGTGATATTAATTAAAAAAATATTTTTTATCATTTTAAATGTATTATAAGAAATTACACAACTTGTAAGCATACTAAAGTGTAGGTTATCATAGGTTGAATTCTATTTGTTATGAAGTGATATAGTTTTATTTACGATAACCTATTTAACATTTTGTTAATGGCAATATATGTGAGATGCTTGGTGATAAGCGTAAGCGAAAGAACTCTGAGAGAAAAAAAAACTACTGCGGATGTAGTCAGAATCAAAAGCTCAAAGTGCGGAGGCGGTTCCATTAATTGGCCGTCGTTCTGAAATTGACATTTGAGGTCTAGATGGCTTACACTGTGTTGCCCTCCAACGAATATTCAGTAACTTTCTAAAGAGTCGCATAAGCGTTTCGAAAATAGGAGAAATATTGTTGTAGGTTTTCTTTTCGAAAGTTCCTTTAGAACTAACCTCACAATACCGAATGTTCCTGTCAAAGTTTGTTGTAAGTACAATATACAACTATAAAAGTGAGCTTAACGTATCACTCTACGACTCTCACACAGCTATTACCCACTAAAGTGATAAACATCGCGTAGTATCATGTAAACAAGTCGTCTTACAACTAAAAATCAATCAATGAGTGACTCAAACGTTTGACAGTGACGCTATAAACAGATGTAAACAAAACTATGTGTGATGTGTGACGTCAATGTAAGATATATCTGTTTATAATATCATCCTGATATCACCTCATTAGTTTTTTCCCGTTTTGTAATTTAAGACTGACCGTACAAAAAGTATTTGTGTACCTAAAATGAGTTTCGTTAACGTTTACATTCTTTCTGAGATCGGTCTATTTGCGTTTATGTGGTGTGTTAAGTGATATGAAAATGAGTGAGCATTTTTGAATGGAAATAACGTTTTTGTATGCTAATGAAATACTTGAATATAGTTTTTTATTGAGAAATAACTGGACTATTAGAATGGTTATTAACTGATAATATATAATGCAATGTTTTTAAGTATTGATACAGTAGTGATAGAATAATAGACACATCCCTAGTACAAAGGGACGTAACTTAGCGGGTGCATAATTTAATTAATATATTTTTATTCGCGATCTATTTTCCCAATTCCAGCCAAAAACAACCTAGGCACTTCAGCAGTATACATATTTTCATTTTATTTGATGTTCATTTATTAAGAAAATAATGGATTAAAACGTTTAATATCTAAATAATAAAAAAATAGCATACCATATCTATATGAAATAATGTAAACATACTTATTCATTTATAGAATCAATACAACGTTCTTTTAATTATACCTAGAGTTAGCTTTCTACCCGCTGCTTCGCCAATTGGGTTTTTTCACCAAAATTCAGTCTTTCACGACTAAAACTTTCCCTAAGTCAACTTTATCAATGAAAATTCATTACAATTTCAGTAATTTAAGCCTGAACACTTAATACACACACAGACGGAGTCACTTTCACATACAAAATTTAAGTATGGATATTTACGTTGTAAAAATTTGTAATTTAATACATCAACGCTATTGTCTTAATTAATATTTTTGAAGAATTGAATTATTGGACGTATGAAAATACTACGAACGCCTTTTTTAAATGACTTCAAAAATTCGAATGTTTTTCCCTGTTTGTTACCTCAAAACTTTTTACTGGGTGGACCGTTTTTGATGATTATTTTTTTATTTGAAAGCTAGAGATAGCTTATTTTATATTTAATATTATTAATTAAAAATCCACAGAAAGCCTCCGCCCGACATTAATAGCATTTTCTTGAATAAGTCGCCTTTGATATAAGTTTTATTTTTTTATGTTTGTCCGTTCTATTTTTTCCTATATTATGTAAACTATTATCAAAGCATTCATTATAATAATTGTTAACAACAAACCCGCAACGCTTAACAAAGTTAATCGAGTATACGTCAGATTAATCGGTGAGTATTTTGTTCTTAAACCTTGTGCTAGCTTCTACCACTACGTGACTTTGCTCTATAAAGGTCGTTGAACTTTAAATAGAAAAATGTGTGAAATTGTTTGGCCATCGCGGCTGTTTGATTACAGTTCGATGAGTTGCCTAAAAAAGATTATTTACTTTAGGTACTACTAGTAAGTAGATTTTGTAAAACAATAATATTAATTAGCAATAAAAAGTGTGTGATGTCGAAATTACATATTTAAAAGATGATAGGATAAAATTACCTTAAAACGTCGTTTCTTTATTTTTAGGTATTCATTTTATGAAGTATAGTTTAAGAAGTAATACAATTTGTTTTTGTTTCTAATAAATCTTTATTTTCAGAGCAACACATTGAGTTTACATTGTCAATCTGTTTTATTGAAAAATTTATAAATTTAAAATGACGTTTTTGTTTCAAAAATTATTATAATTAAGTATATGTATTTTGGATTACGCATATAAAAATATAATTATAGCAAGTCTGTATATATATTTATAACTATGGGGTTAAAACACACTCACATTTGAGTAAGATTTTTTGGTTTAGAGAGATGTATAGTAAATTTGGCGCCAATGACCGACTAATTAAAGGTATGCTTTACGGGGAATCACGGATCAAAAGCTTTTTGTTTGAGCTTATAAGAAGAAAGAGACGTAAATGATGTTGTTTATTTAAACATCAGAAGAAATTCTATTGTTTTAATCCTGTAATTTATCCAATATAAATTTCAAGTGTTTTCAATTTTAGATTGTAACGATAAAAAACATTCAATCAGGTTATGTTTTAATTAATAGGGTCTTACAATGTTATTTGACTTGATTGTTACATTTAATATTCTAGTAAAATTTTAATGAACCTGAATTATTGAGCCATTGATACGTAAAACTCTTCCACTAACTACTTGAAATTTCTTTTAGATTAATTCTAAAATGTGCTTTTTTTGGCAAATCAAATTGTAAAAACTTTTATACTAACATTTTAAAGAAATATATGATTTGTCCCAAAACTGCTGGACCGATTTTAATAATTCTTTCATTTACGGCAAATTTCGTCATACGCGACATATGGTCAGTGGCACAATCGTCCATTAAGGCTTAATGATGTCTTTAATTAATTACAAATTTGTATTTTAATGGACCTTTGTAAAACTGACTGATAGGCCAGGCTGAAGTCGGGGGAAAACAGTTACTTGGTGAATAAGTTTATAAGTGACTATTTGTTTAAAATTATTCGGCGAATTGTGCTTACGATCACAATGCTTTCGTGACTAATACTAGTCCTTTTTTGGGACACGTCCACAGTGATGTTAATATAACCTACTAAGTAGGTCCAGAACGGATTGTTCAGTGTTAGCGACTGCATACGCAGTTTAACTTATGGCTTCTCGTGCCTTCTGAAAGGCGGTAATAATGTTTTGGTCACTCATCCTATGCCCTTGCGATAGTTGCTTAACTCCCGTATTACAGGAAGAATACAACAAGACTGTGCCATCAAAATTCTTTAATGTTAATTAAATCGATGAGTGTAAATTTAAAATATTCTGATTTGACACATCGATGCTTATGAATAAAGTTGATTATTCATCGTGAAGTATCGTATACTGATAAATGACACTTCATATTTCGTTGCAATATCATATCTATTTAGATATAAACAATATGATTGTGAACTGATTCTTTTATTATCGTAAGTACCGATATATGTCATTTATTAAAAAGTAACAAAGACTGCAACAACTTATAAATTCAGGTAGTCATTACAATTTTCGTAAAAGAAGTCAAAGACTTTTGCTTAGGTATCAATCCATAGTAATATGAACTAGCTGTGCCCGCGACTACGTCCGCGTGGAAAGTGGCCTAATTTACTTCTTATAACATAAGCTATCTGCCAATGACAGTCCTGTCAAAATTAACCCAGCCGTTTCAGAGATTAGCCGTAACAAATAGACAAACAAAAAAATGTAAAAGAAAAAAAATGTTTTGGTATATATACCGTGTATACTTACATATTCATTTAGTAAAAAGTTATTTTAACATTACAAACAGACACTCCATTTTTACTTCTTGTACAGATGTAAATTTTTGTTGTGAAATAAGCTTAAAGATGTACAAATAATGGATGAAAATTTGTATGAAATGCCATCGGTGAAGATAAAACATATTTGGCTGGCAGTAAATAAATATTTGTATTGAAGTTTTTGCCATTTCGAATTACATACGGGTGAAGCCGAAGGCGGAAAGCTTGTATTCTGATAGTTTTTAAATATTGTCGGTTTATTAAGTACTTACTTGTAGCCAATATCGCCCCATTCCAGTGTGACTCCATGGTACTTTTGCATGGAGTGCATGCTCTGCGAGCATTCATCGACGGTATGACAGGCTGCTGGCATGTAAGTGTGGTGGATCACCACATATGACACTGGTGTATTCAGTGGCTGAGTATCGTTACCCGGCGCTGCTCCCCAATCCTCACGGGTGTAGAATTTAAACGGAACTGTGCAAAAGAAAAGTTATATTGAGACTAGACTGCTGAGGTACTCGATGGCGCAGTGATTAGCGCGCTCAGTCTGCGATACGCTTGTTAGCCAACATTCGCAAGGGCCGGTCTTCGGAGCCGTTGGGTCCGGATGCATCTGCAATCGTTACAACACCCGCCAATGTGCACTGGGACCACGTGGTGGGTCATAATCATGGCCTATTCTCCTTACTCGATTTGGTTTAATTCCATTTATAGGGAAGGCCTGAACCTCTACCAAGTCCCACACGGTCCGGATCAACCCTTAGGTACCTTAGTTAACACTTAGGTACCGGGTACTGGATTATACGAGAGGGTTGTACGGAGGGTTTTGCTTGGTAGGCTTGCTGTTGTATAGGGCCTAGACCGCGTACAACAGCAGGAGAGCCCTGGTATTGTCGGCCTGTAGTCAAGATCGATGATATGCTAAGGCTAGTCCTAGTCCCTTCGGTATAAAAAAAGGCCTGAACCCCAATAGTGTGGATATTAATTGGCCAATGATGATGACGACTGCTGGGGCAACGTCATCGATAAGGATCGAATCGAATAGGAAGAATGGGTCGTTATCCACCTCGCGGGTCTATTGACGGTTGGTTGGTATTAACGAGAGTAGATTTAGCCGGGACTAACGACCTAGCGTGCCTTTTGAAGGACGGAAGAACTCGAGATAATACATTTTTGGTCACTCATCAACACGCTTACCATTGTGCCGTCGAACTCTTTTAGTAATGACAGAATAATGTTATTTAAGCCCTTTCTGAGTTGAATTTTAGCACCCTAAAATAGTGGTCTTTATTAGTAGTCAGTCATATTTTAACTAAAAGATACAAAAGTTACAGACCTGACTATCCGTGTAGGTATTATTTATATAAGTGTTTATACTATTAATACTTTTTTCTAACATGCTCGCCTATTTTTATTGCTTCTGACATCACCCGCAAACAGCACGCAATAAATTCGATAATCATAGGTGTCTTGGCTTTTCGCTTCTACATCCTTCCACTCTCGCGTTGTATATTAGTTTATAATCAAGGTATTATTTTCAAATAATGTATCAGATATTCCAGTTGCAGAAATTTATACTTTATATTCTAACGAATGTTCTAAATTTGAAAATTACTAATGACAATTTTAATGGACATTTGTTTGCCAAATTAATTCCTAAAAACAGTCAGTCAGTATAAAATTGTTGGTTTTACTAATGTTCTTTGAGTTTCTTCATAATGGCTCTCTTTTTAGCCAAAACGGTCGTTTCAACCAGCTCATTTCATTTTAAAATATATCACATATATATAAATGTAGGTATATATAAATAAGGATTTACATATAGTAAGTATAGTATAGTATACAATAGTTAATTCACTGTTGGTTTTACAAACATTTCAATTAACATACACACGTAACAATGTAATTATGATGACGAGCACAACAACGCATCCGTTTCTGTATGTAATTCGACAGAGACGGATGCGTTGTTGTGTAATAAACAAATAGGACACAAGATTATACCTATTGATAGTAATCTGTTGCACAAACTAGATTAAATTCAGCGTTTTTAATCCTATAAATTAATAAGACAACAGAAGTATACTTATTTGTATACATGACTGCAGAAAATATTTAAATTAGAAGATTTTAGTTAAGAGGATGATCAGAATTAGCACCATTATTGTTTAGATTAATTTAAGCTCGTAACTTATATTTATTATAGAAATCAAATCAACGAAACTAACAAAACCATTGCCGGCGAAAGATACTATGGAAAGTTAATTCAAACTGTCATTCAATGTCGAATACGCCATTGGTTTCCAAGTTTATGGCGGCAAAGCTTGTATTGAGAAACACCGGCAAGAAACTCGACAAGGGCTGCTTTTCCCACCTTTTCTATTTCATACAGGGAAGTCTTAACTGGATAGTGACGTAATTAGAATATGAAGTCATTTTCCATTACAATATTAACATAACAAAACAATTTTTTTTTCGATAAACTCACATATTAATGTACTGCTGGGACATAAGCTTTCGTTATGGATGATATTGAATTGAATAAATTAGAATGGGCTATATAATCCACCAGGCGGGTCCATTGGCTTTGAATCTTAAACATCGCGATATGGTATACAAGTTTAACAAACAATACATTTAGGAACTTCTCATTAGTAAATTGTAACTTACCCCTCATATTGGCCGGTTCTGGATATGCATGCACCGATGCAATTGTCGCAAAGACCATGACGAATATACTAAAAACCGTTATCATAATTATAACGTTGCCGTGTGTATTTATACGCTCGCTAATCCCGATTGAAATGTAACATCGATGTTTCGATTTTATATACTGTTTATCCGCCCACGGTAATTTCCCTGGCCGTAAGCCTCAGTTACACTGTTCTCTTTTTTTTATTTTGATTGCACTTCACAATTATTTATTCAGCAATTTGATTTTGCATTTGAATAAACTAAAATTTTAATATATAACCAAATTAATGCTATCGCAACGAGCACTGGACTGGGAATGACTTATGATTTGAATGAAGAAGAAGTGATAAGCGAATCTTGAATTTGTTTTTTTTTGTATCTTCAGAAATACTGATTCGATCATGAAAAATCTTTTACCTTCGGGAAGGCAAGTCCCCAGAAAACAGCCAATTAAATATATATTTAACTTTATACAACGTAAATTAGCATTTTCTTTATCTTTCCAAAGTATTTTGATTCACTTTGTTCTATTGATTTATTAACCCCCGTCCCCGAGTGAGTGGTTATAAGGTGTCGCCATCTCTGATGTCCCAGGTTCTATATCGGCAGGGACAATGTAGAAAAATGATTTTTTCTAAATCGGTTCTGGTCTGGGTGCTTGTGGTACCTTTGTTTTTTCGGATTTCCATAAAACAAGTGCTGAAAGCTGGTTGATTTTGGGGATCTAAGCAATGTATGCGTATTTTGATCATTATTCATTTTTATTTTAGTATAATATAGTTTGTTAAAAGTATCATTTAACAAATTTAAATCATCCTCCGTCGACGGAAATATTAAAAACGGTGCCTCGCATAACGACTTTTTGAAAATGAGAAATATAAAAAAAAAACACTGTCTTTTTCATACTGAACGATACACTTTTATTTGAACAACACTTAGGCATTTACGTCAAATATAGATATTATTTATTATATTTAATCAAACTGATAAATATTTTTAGTGTAAAATGCTTTAAAATCCACGAGATCCAAATATAGATATTACGTGTTAATTATTGATCGATAAGTTTTATTGAAAACGGTAGCTTAGTAGGCCAAGGCAAAAAAGAGGTCGTTCCCATGTAGCCTATACATATGAATATATTTTAAAAGAAATTTTGTGAAGCTCCTTTTTAATTGTATTATATAATCATGGTCTGACAGAATTTGCCCTTACTTCTAGATCCGGCTCTGCAGCATCGCTAGGTATTGCAGGGTTGTTGGATTTTTTTAAATCTATATGGTCATACAATGACACATGTAGGTATATTTGTTTTAGGTACTGTCTGTATGCCGTACATTTGCTTTATTTTTGTCATAGATATCTGTTACGGTGAAACGAGGGCGCTGAATGAAAAGGATTACGCGAATAATGTTTCATTTGCGTATCACGGTTATATTAGTTAACGCTTGCTCTTTTTCTTTCCTTATAAATCGACGAGGTTATTCTGATTCTGATGTACTGTCTAGTACAGTGGTAAACTGGGTATGCCACAGCATTTTGATGTTGTACACACTAATCCAGCTGTAGAAGTGTCTTAAATCTGCACGCGTCCATGACACGACACACTCTTTATCTATACATACAAAATGTCACTTTTCTCCGGTTGAGAGAAAAGTGGTTGAGAGTGAGATATCGTATGGGCGCACCTGAGAAAAGTGACATTTGGGTGTAGTCGAAACGTTTTTGAGTTAGTCATACTACGCGTGCTGTACGTCACGTCTACGTTACAGGCGGTATTATAATACATTCCCAGTATTATGAAATAAAATTTTAATACGTTACTGAAAATCTTCTATTATGTAGGTACATTAATAGTAGAGTTGTCTGCGACTAATCTATCGATGGATTGATCAAATTATTTCTATTCACGTTTATTTTAGGTTCGCTAAGAATTAGATTTTTGAAAAATTTAAAGCCTGAGGAGTCAAATCTCCGCAGCCTCGTGATTCGGATGCCGGTTTCGAGGTGCTCTGAGGTCCCGGGTTGATTTCCAGTCGGGTTAAGGTAGAAAGTTATATTTTATATACTGTTTTGGGTTTGGGTATTCTGGTGGATACATTGTCTCAGATACTATATAATTCGGGGGATTTAGGATTTTGGGATCTGAGCAATGTTGTCATTTTTTTTTAATATGTCATATTTTGATGAAAGCTGCTGTATGACGCTCTCATGATCTCTACATCCGAAAGCATGTATACGTAAATATGAGAGAATAAATAAGACTTGAAGATGCAAATTAGAATAGTAGTATACGGTTATTTATGACAGATATTCCCAATTCTCTCTCTCTCAGATCTCAGAAATATGTAAACATATTTTATTTGGCAGAACCCTATTTTGATAACTAAAGAAAACCTTGTTATTTAAATATTTTTCTTGTAACACTTGAAAAGAAGGAACAAATTATAAATAAAAAAATAATAATGTAAACATTATGAAATCGTGGTTTAACTCTCAGACTGCTCCATGACACCTTCTATGGAACCCCAGGACCGGGATTTTCGGGGATTGACACCTTATTTTAATCGAGTCACCGATATTTCGGTGCCATCGCAAGCACCATGATCACGGAGTTAATATAAAATAAATAAATAAATTTTTTATTGCGATAACATAATAGTACATAAAGATGGCAGTATCCATTTGAGCAAAAAAATTACTTGCGATAGAACGTCCTAACATTTTATTTTACGTACTTACATACTTATAATAAATCTGTAGAGAGGTCAATTCTGTACATGAAATATATTTCCAAAATAACTATCAGGGGGTGATTAGGGATCGATACTGATGCCAAAAATGCAATCAGTAAAATTTTTGTCTGTCTGTCTGTATAACCGTTATAGAAACAAAAACTACTCGACGGATTTTAACGAAACTTGGTACAATTATTTTTCATACTCCTGAGCTGGTTATAGTATACTTTTCATCACGCTACAATCAATAGGAGCAGAGCAGTGAAGGGAAATGTTGGGAAAACGGGAGACGAGCGGTTGGCGCACCTAACGAGGCTGCAACTCTCTAGCCAAAAGAGCCGTTAAGACTGGTACGCACACTACGGTTTATCTATACTAATATTATAAAGCTGAAGAGTTTGTTTCTTTGTTTGTTTGAATGCGCTAATCTCAGGAACTACTGGTTCGAATTGTAAAATTCTTTTTGTGTTGAATAGACCATTTATCGAGGAAGGCTTTAGGCTATATAATATCATGCTGCAACTATTAGGAGCGAAGAAATAATGGAAAATGCGGACGAAGTCGCTGGCGGCCACTAGTCATTAAATAAGTATAAGATGATAGCAAACCCGTAGACAACTATTATTCTAATGTTAATGACTACGAAAGCTTAAAACAACATAAAATAAAATACAAAATGTGTGGCTCTATATAACTCTATCGTCAGGTTATTTATTATTATTATAGGTTAAATTGCTGAAAATACATGGGGAATCCCAATAAGATGGCTTTCGTTAATATAAAAAACTGGAGGGGGATAAATTGACATACTGTGAATAATCGTGCTTAGTTTCCAGCTGGTTTCAATTTTATAACGATAGCAAACCTAGACATTCTTGTAATTATGCGGTGTGCATTATGTCGTAGTAGGTATATATGGTGTGTTTTAAGTATTTCTTTTCCGGAATCATTAGGATATATTTTCTAAATTCAGCATGTTCTCAGAACAGTGACTTTCCGTGATATGTAATTGTACGTATGTGCAATTTCATATGATTTTGTGTACCATATGACAGTATTGAAAATAGCACACACGGTCGCATTTACCACATACATTTCTACCATGAATTTTGATCTCTATCTGCAAAGTATTGAGGCTTGAAATTGAGTGGGATAGTTTTGTATAAATAACTGTTTTCCCGTGACTTCGATCGCCTAAATTATAGCTTATGTCACCCTCGAAAGATATAGCTTTCGGTAGATGAAAGAATAGAGCTTAAGTTTTAGTTTTAGAGTTAAGCTCTATGTGCAACAATGCAACAAAAGTTGAAATCTTTCCTATTTATAAGTAATAAGGCTGCATCTGCAGTCGTTAAAACCCAGTAATCCGCGCTGGGCTCGCGATTCCATCCATAGGGAAGGCCGGAACCCCAGCAGAGGGGATATCGATAGGCTTGTGATGATGAAGCCAGTCAGTGGCTTTGCCCACGTGATCCCTAGGGAACTGTTTAGTGGGATAATAAGTAGCCTATATGTTAATCCATGCTTAGAAGCCTATATGTTAATTCTTTATGCACAATCGTACAAAGGCGGACTTAATGCCTTAGGCATTCTCTGCCAGTCAACGGTTTCATAACATGACTCGGTTTTAATTACAATGACAAATTGAATAGTAAACAATGGTTACTATGGTAACGTTTTAATTCCGCATATGATGTAGGTTCCCGTAGGTGAAAGAATTTTTAAAATCAGTCCAGTAGTTTCGGAATCAATTTGATGCCAACAAACAAACTAATATTTCCTCTGTATAATATTAGTATACATAAAAGCGGGTTTTACCTAGACATGGCTGTTGTTTTCCGTTAATTGTACTTTTATTATTGTTGTATTTAATCTAAAAATGAAAGTTTTATGTAGGTACTCAGAAAAACATATATTTTGTAACACAAAGTAGGAAAATCTGTTATCCAGAGGGTCTTCTTTGAAAACATATGAAACAAGATTTGGCGTTTATTGTTTTTGGGTACCTACTTAATAAAAGACTTTATTTTTTTGATAATACCACAATTCTGAAGGGCCCTCAACTTGTATTTTCATAAGTTTATTATATAGGATTTTAGTTTAATAAAATAAATATTGTTTATTGTTGGAAATTTATAAGACCTAAAGATACAGCGAATTAGCGAGAATCGCTAGTTAAAAATAATTGTAGGAAATTAACTACAGATATGAATCAACATGTAAGTACAGATATGAATCAACATGTAACCCTAAGTATTTTGCTCATGACTGTTGGTTGTTCAAAAAGGCTTTTAAAAGGTACGTTTGTAAATTATAATGTATATAGTAATAATTAAACACAAATGATGTGGTCTTGTCCTAAT